AGGTACCCCTGTGAGCACCCGAGGGGGCTGAAAGCTGGATTTGCACTTTTTAGGGACTGCTGAGGTACAACTGCAACAGAGGGAGGGACTCAGGGAGAGGAGGAGACCCTGTGCCCCACCCAGGGAACAGGCACCGAGCCTCCAAAGGGGAGACTGCTGTGGGCTCACAGAGCAAAGCCTGTCCTGCACCCCTGATCAGAGCAAAGCCTGTCCTGCACCCCTGATCAGCTCAGAGCAAAGCCTGTCCTGCACCCCTGATCAGCTCAGAGCAAAGCCTGTCCTGCACCCCTGATCAGCTCTGCCTGCAGGGAAAGGGGCTCAGGATAAGGTTTGCTGGGAATTCCTGACCTGAACAGTAACACAGTCAGGCTTAAGTGTCTCTGCTGTCTTTCAAAGTAAAAATAGACAGTTACAAGTCTTAGTGAGGAGTTATGTGGTGCAATAATGGAATGATAGAATCCTGGAATGGTTCGGGTTGGAAAGGACCTTGAGGCTCATCCCATCCCACCCCTGCCATGGCAGGGACACCTCCCACTGTCCCAGGTGCTCCCAGCCCCAGTGTCCAGCCTGGCCTTGGGCACTGCCAGGGATCCAGGGGCAGCCACAGCTGCTCTGGGAATTCCATCCCAGCCCCTGCCCACCCTGCCAGGGAACAATTTCTCATTGCCAGTACCCCATCCAGCCCTGCCCTGTGTCAGTGGGAGCTATTCCCTGTGTCCTGTCCCTCCAGGCCCTGAGCTGTGCCCCTGCTCCCTGCTGAGCTCTCCCCAGCCCCTTGCCCATCCCGAGAGCCTCTCTGATCCCTGCAGCTGCAGGGGAGGGCAGAGGTGGATGTGGTCAGCTCCTCTGACCTGCCCAGCAGCACAGGCTCTATAATTACTCTCTGGAATATCTGCCTCAAGCCAGAAGTTGTGTGCTGGAACTGAAGGAGCCTCTGCCTAATGAGCCTGTCCCTGGATGTCAGCAGTAATTAATGTGCATCGCCCTGCAGGTTCCCACCTCCTCTTAACAGGCTGAAATTTTATCCTCTGGTTATAATTGCAAATTATGGTTAAAATTTTACATGCCTGGCAGTCGAGAAGCTGGATGCTCCAGCTTATTCCCCTGTGGCTACACGTGGGGATGTTGCTGAGATGGTTCCAGCCCCTCCTTTCACTCCTGTCCCTCTTACACGTGACTTCCATCCTCATCACCCTCTTCTCCTCTCGTGCCCCTTCTCTCTCACTTTGTCCCCTCCTTTCCTTGCCTCCTTTTCTGTGTCTGAGGGGCAGCGTCTGAGCCTAAATAACCACAACTTATTGACCTCATTTGGCAGGAGGGACAGCTCAGCTGCTGGTGCAGGCGTTCCCCGTGGCCAGCAGTGCCCAGCTGAGGGTGGAGGATGCACAAACACTCGCTGAAGGGCTCCCTCACTCCCAAACACCAGCTGCTGGCAGAACTCCTGCTGCTGCACCCCCTGGAAAGATCTCCTGTCTGGAACCAGGCTGCAGAGCTAACACTGGCCTGGGGCCCGTGGTGAGTGCCCCGACTGTTGCCATGGCATTATAACTATTCATTATTGGAGGAAAATACTGCACAAAGAGGTGACAGACGTTGGTTCCAGATCCAGGGCAGGTAGATGGGGAGGAGCTCAGGGGCTGGTTGCAGTAGCCAGGTGAGCCTCTCTCGAGAAGAGGTTCACTCTTCTTTTCCAAATCTTTTCATCAAAAAAAAAAAAAAGTAATTAAGGACTAAGAGAGAATTTGGGCTTTGTTCCTGTCAGCGCACAGGAAGCTGAGAGCAAACGTGAGGTGCTGAGTGGTGGGTGAGGCAGCCTGGAGAGCTGCCCAGGGATGAGCCCAGCTGCTCTGGAAGGCTGCTGGCATTGCTGACAGCACTGTTGACCACTTGAATTACGGGCAGGCCCTGAGAGCTGGGCCCCAGTGTGACATCTCATGCAGCCAGCGCTGGCCTGTGCCAGAGCTCAGAGCTGAGAACAGTGGCTTTATGTAATTTCAGATGCAGGTAGCTGTGAAAGGCAGAGCAGAGCTGACAGCCCTGCTCCAGGCCCAGGAAATGCTGAGTGTGTCCAAGCAGAGCAGGCTGCACCCAAACAAGGAGTGCCCCCGGGGGCAGAGGGCTGTGCTGTGGTCATTTCAGCACAGGAAGCAGTTCTTGCCTACAACATTTGCATCATTTAAAGGTGGACAGCCATGCTGGACCCCTGGGGTCTCCAGCCAGGCCCTGAGCCAGCACTCAGCATCCCCAGCCCTGGCACCCCTGGGCAGCCACATCCTGTTCTCCTCACCTCAGACAGAGCTCCAGCTACCTGTGGGAGACATGCTGGAATGGATGACAAATGCATGGATTATGTACAGAATAGATAATGAGTGATATTTTCTGTTGAATGCACAGAATCACAGAATCCTGGAAGGGTTTGGGTTGGAAGGGACCTTAAATCTCATCTCATCCCACCCAGGGACACCTTCCACTGTCCCAGGTTGCTCCAAGCCCTGTCCAGGAGCTGGAACATTTCAAGGGATCTGGCAGCCACAACTTGTCTGGGCAGCCCGTGCAACTCTCTTAGTGAAATTTAAAAAACTGCTGGAAAACAAACAGCTAAGAATTCACTTTACATTTGGAAAGCTGCATTTTGAATGCTTCAGCTCAAAACTGCAAGTAACAGAGAATCCAAATCGGGAGAATTTGTACGATTTACAGTATAAATTATTAAAGGGGAAAGAAAAAGACGTTACTCATGAAAAGTACATTCTTGTCGATCAAAGCTGCAAACAGAGAGTACTTTTATAAAGGCATCTGCCAGCCTTTGATACGCTCTGTGGAAACCTTGTCAGGTGTTTGGAGAGTGGAGCGTGGAGCTGTCGGGCTCCAGCGCTGTTCCCTGCTTCGAGGACAAGTCAGAGGCAGCAGAGCGGGGTGAGCTCAGCCCAGGGGTTCCTGTGCTGCCTCAGGAAAAAAAAAATGCAGGAAACGGGAACCTGAACAGCAGCGTTCCCCGGGCGCAGGATCGAAGTTGAAGCTCAGCAGAGGCTGGGCACAGCGGGTGCCCTCAGTGTGCTCATTAAATGCTCAGCCAAAAGCAGCACCTGCCAGCGCCCCGACCCCGTTCTCCAGTGCTCCAGCAGCACTCAGCTGGGCCAGAGGCGAGCTCGGAGGCAGATGAACAATTTATGCAGAGTGGGATCCATGACAAAGTAGCAGCTACTTTGGTGAATACAAGCATCTTTGTACAAGTGCCCAGATGGTTCGGGAGCTGTGAAAAGCGCCGTTGTTGTTCCAGCTCGGCAGCACGCCCCTGACAACGTGCCGGGCACGGCCCCTGCTCCTGGGAGCTGCAGCATCCAGCCTCCCCACAGATCCCACCCAGGCCGAGTGCCTGGCTCTGCTGACACGTTTTCTGCAGGGTAATGTCCTTCCCAGGGTGTTCCCAGTGCTGTCTGCAATGCCGTGTTCCCACTCTGTCCTTTGCCTAAAGTGGACGTTGGATTTAGGGCCTGCTGGACACTGAGGCAGCCAAGCCCAGGCCTCGGCGGTCCCTCGTGGGCACAAGGGTCACAGGGGTGCCCAGCCTGACAGCCAGCCTGGCTGGGGATGGGGCCGCAGGCTGGGAGAGACTCACCTCCCATCACCCACCATGAGGTAACCCTTCAACCCCAGGATCCTGAAGGATCCCAGCCCCACACACTGGAGGGTCAGGGATGGAAGAGCCCGGAGAGCCACTGGCCTGAGGGCAGCTGTCCTTCCTGTGGGAGCTGGACAAACTGCAGGGAGACACTGCCCTGCAGGCAGCAGGGATCTGGAAGGGCCTCTGGGAACAGCTGGGGAAGGTGAGGAGTCTGGCTCTGCCTGGGAAGGCAGGGAGCAGGCAAAGCTGGGGCAGAGGGAGTGTGGGGAGAGGCTGGAAGCTGTGCTCCATGGAGGCTGGTGCTCCTGGGGGAGGGTGGGAGCGGCACTGTGGCCTGGGAATGCAGCAGCAGGACAAAGGGGAGGCTCCGGAAGAGGGGAGCTGAGCCAGGAAGGTGCAGAGGGAACAGGGCCTGTGGTGCAGGGAGACACACTGGGGACAGCTTAACCGGGGTCCTGTTTAGCTGGGTATTTGTGGGTGTGTGTGCAGCCAGGGTGGTGTGGGGAGCCCTGCCGAACCACTCGGTGGGGCCCTGGGGGGTGGCTCTGGGGAGTGTGACACGCAGGCATGGCCGGGGCTGCAGGATTCCCATCCTCCCTGCGTGATGCTGCTGCTGCCACCAGGTATTTGAGTGCCCCAGAGCAGCACCAGCTGCATCCCATCAGCACTGCTGGCTCTTGGAGTCCATTTTGTCCAAAAGCCAGAGATTTAAAGGTTTCCTTCCATGACAAATGAACACCAAGGGACAAGCTCACGTCCTGGGGGCCACGTTGGCACTTTGGCTGGCTCTGCTGGAAGGACCAACCCTCCATGGGGATCCCAGCCTAGCAAAGGAGCTGGGCTCTGACAAGAGAGCTGGGCACAGGCTGGCCTTTGGCAGGGAGCGTGGGTCAGCCAGGTCACACCCACTCACCTGCTGTCCTTGGGGACACAGAGTGCCTGGGGCCGCCCCCGCCCCGCTGATCGGGGGGTGCGGGTCGCGGGTACCCCCTGCCACATGTCCGACCCCGCTGCACATCACCGGCAATGCTCGGTGCCCTGCCGTGCCCGAACTGCGGGCACCCCTGTCTGTCCTGAGCCGCTGTCCCCGCTGCGGGGGAGCCCCTCGGTGGGCGCCGGGCTGCGGGCAGCGGGGGGAGCCGCGGCCACCTGCGGCGAGCCCGCAGCGCCGGGCGCCCGGTGCCCGCGGAGCCGCCCCCCGCTCCCCGGGGCACGGGCACGGGCACCGCGCTCCGCTCCGCCCGCAGCGGGGGCAGGGAGGGCCGAGCCGGGCGGGGGGCGCGCCCACAGCCCCGCCCCGCACCGCCCCGCACCGCCCCGCAGCGGGATGTGAGCCCAGGCTCCGGCAGCGCCCGCCGCCCCGCGCCCCGGGAAGATGCTGAGCAGGTGGATGAGTGGCAGCAGCAGGAACCTGGACCGCGAGTACAACTGCACCGTGCGGCTGCTGGACGACAGCGAGTACACCTGCACCATCCAGGTCAGCCTCCGCGCCGCCGGCACCGGCACCGGGGCCGCGCTGCCCCCGCAGAGCCGCGCTGCCGCCGGCCCGGCAGACAAAAGGAGCGGAGCGGCGGGGGCGGCCCGGTGCTGCCCCGCGCCGCCAACAAAGGCGGCCCCCCCGCTCCCGCAGCCCGCCTCCCCCGGCTCGCGGGCGGCCACCGGAGCCGGCGGCGGGGAGAGCCCCGGGGCTGAGCCCCGCCGCCTGGACCCCCCCAGCCGCGGAGGGGTGCGGGGATGGCTCGGAGAGCCGCCCGCCTGCCCCCGGCGCGGCGATGCCCGCAGCAGCCGGAGCCGGAGCGGGGCAAGGGCAGCCCGGCACGGCACGGCACGGCACGGCACGGCACGACCGCCGCGGGGCCGGGGAGCCGCGGCCGTGCCCCGCGGAGCCGCTCGGAGCTCGCCCTCCGCTGCCGGGCGCGGGGGCTGCGCGCAGCGCGGGGAGGACGTGGGTGCCAAGGGGAGTAGGGGATGCGGCGGGGCAGGGCGGCGCAGGGACCCGCGGGGCAGGGATGCTGCGGGGCAGCGATGCCCGGGGGTGCTGCTGGCAGGGACAGACCCTCCCGGCCCCGCCGCGGCCGGGTGCCCGCTCTGCCTCCCCCGTTAGCGCCCGGCTGGTCGTGATGAGCGCTCGGGTTTTGTAATCGTCCGGAGCGGCGGGGACGGGAGGGCATCCGCCGCCCCCTGCGCCCCCGTGCCGGGAGGGACCGGCACCGGCACCGGTAGCGGCACCCATGGTCGGGGCCGTCGCCCCTCAGCTGCTGTCCCTGCGCTGCCAGGGCTGCGAGGGACATCGCTCAGCGCGCAGATGTCGTGGGATGTGTCGTATTGCTGAAAACTAGGGAAACGCACTCCGGGGCTCCGCTGGAGCGAGTCCGGTACCGGGACCGTGTGACCGGGGGCTGACAGAAGCATCCCTGGCTCCGGCTGCTCCTGCGCTTCATTCCTGCCGTCAGCATCATCCTTGCAAGGGAGCTCACGAAAACCTGTGCGGAGCCGCACGCGCGGGGATTGCTGCTGGAGGCGGCTGGCCCCAGCCCAGCCCGTGGGCGATGGAAAATTCGGGGCAGAGTTTTGAGTAAAGGTGACTCAACACGTCAATAGCAACAGCTCCCCCCGCCCAGCCCCGGGGGCCCCCAGCTCTCCCCGGCCTGTGATGCCAAGGAGGGGTGAACATCCTTTCATTTCCAGGCACAAACCTGCTTCTGGTGATAATGCCAAAGGACGGTTACCAAGGGTGCTGCAGGCTATGGGAGGCACCGTCATTTTGGCTTAAACAGCCTAAAATCGATAAATAGGGTGATTTGTGCAAATACCACTGAAGAATGGTGGTAGTGCTGCCGGTCTCTGCTCACCTCCCCCACCGGGGTTGTAAAGTGTGACCCAGTAAACGGCTCGAACAGCAGCCCAGTTTATTTTGCATAAGCCAAACTAATTCGTCTCTCAGAGGCTGTTTTTAATACTAATTAAATGGGAAACTGTAGTTTGGGAGAGAAAGTGTGGGCAGAGCAGTTCAGAAAAATCTGGATTTTCTGCCCTTAAGACAATTTGACAAGGTGTCGTCATTTTGCATGTCATTTTTTTTTAAAGAGAAAATATGACTCGGTCCCATATTCCGGTTGATATTTTATGTGTAGCATAGTAAACAGGGATTCCTGGCATTTAGCATGCGCGACCCGAGGGATGGAGAATTTGCTCCTGCTACCCTGACAAGCAAGGTTACCCCACTTAAATGTTTGCTCTCGCTTGCTTTCATGCTGCCTTATAAGCCAAGTATTTATAGTCCATGCGAAATTAGGGAGAACATAGCAGGAATGTGTAATGTCTCGCAAGTGAGGAGGGAACCGTCACCGCGCAGGCTGCGAGCGCTGAATGAGTTTTGAAGGTCATTCCCTCACGAGCGCAGAGATTTCACATCTTGCCGAGATCCACAGTGTCTCCTCACCCAGGCTGGTTCTGCGCCTGTTGGATGTAATTTATGCCTTTCTATTTCTGCTGGAATCCGGAGAGCCTGGCCGGAGCAGCAGCCCGGCTCCCACACGCAGGGCTGGGCTCCGTCTGGAGTTTGTGCCTGTGCTGGTTCTGCTGCTGTGCCCTGTGTCCTCCCTGGCAGGGGGATGAGGACGGGCTCTGTGCCCTCCCTGGAGCGTGGCCTGTCTGACGGGTCATCTGGCTTCGCTGCTGGGGAGGAGGCAGCAGCGTGGAGGCAGAGCTGATTTTTGAGCAGGTTTATTTACATTTCAGATAATGGCATCGGTTAAATCTGTCATGAAATTAACCTCTGGCTGTGCTTGATGAAGGTGTGTGAGTAGGGGTTTGCTGCTGCCAGATAATACCTGAGCATTCTGCTTCTAAATAAAGCCTTTTTTATTTGATTTTCCAAGGTTTTCTTTGTTCATATTCCCATGTAGAATGAGCAGTTCATTGTCTGAGCTGGGATGAATCCTTCCTCTTTTTTTTCCCGAATTCCCACTCCTGAACAGCCCATCCAAGCAGGCAGAGGAGCCTGGAGGACTCATCCCTGGGGCCCCCAGATGCTGTTGGGGGGACAGAGGTGCCATGGGCACGGAGAGCAGGGTGCAGTGGGTCGGGGCAGCGGGGTTGGCGCCTCCATGAACCTCTTGTCATGAGGTTTTTTTGTGAATTCCAGTGTTTGCTGGTTTGGGGAAGATGCTGTCCCAGCATCTGTCTGCCAGTGAGCAGGGCTGGGCCCTGAGCCCTGCCAGCGCTCGGGCACTACAGCAGCTGCCTGAGCAGGAAGATGCTGGGCTCTTGGCTGGGAAAAGCTGCTCTTTGACAGGGCCACAGGCCACGGGGGCAGCTCCTCGGGCAGCAGAGGTGGTGCTGGTTTGTGCCTGGGTCCTCCAGGTGCGCGAAGGCAGCGGTGCCATCCCTGCCCCGTCCCTTGGCACGTGCTGGCTGCCACCCGTGGGTGTGGGCACCCTGGTCACGGGTGTCACTGCCCCGAGACGTGTCCCCGGGGAGAGGGGGCTCACGGAGAGGGGCAGCCATTCCTCTAGGCATTCAGCTTGTCTCCGTGGTGAGGGCTGCTCTAGCCGTGTGTTTAATCGGAGTTTCACCCCTCCGTGGCGCAGGCTGCTGGCCAGGCTCCTCGCAGCGCCCTCGGGATGAAAAGAGCCCTGAAACACGCAGCAGTGCTGTGGTTTGCTGTCAGTGAGTTGCTTGTCTGAGGAAATGTTTTAAATTCTTCACTGCGGTGTCAGTGGTGGCATAAAAGGCTCGAAATAATTAATGATTTGCCGTTGCTCGATGCATCAAGCATTTTCCTGAAAAGACAGTGGTGTTTTGTTTCAAACCCCAGCAGAACGACAGGAACGTGGAGATGTGAGAAAATAAATATATGGTTTCTTAGATGCAGAATGTAAGAACTTTCTTGCCTAAGACTGGGAGGAAATGAAAGCGAGCTCCTGGTTGCACTCTGGGACAAACCCCCTGCTTCCCACTTGGAGCACGGAGCTCTTTAGGAGCCCTGACAGGATCATTAATATCAGGCAGCAGCACAAAGGGGAGCTGGGGGTTTGTGGCAGTGAAGGTTATTTGTTCATTATCTTTTTATCTTCTGAGAGTTTCCAATTGCTTTTCCCGGGAAGTAGGTTAGGAGACCGCTGCTTCCGCAGGGCCGGCTCCGCCCGGAGCCCCGAGCACGGGGGGACAGGGCCACTCCGGCAGCGCCACCAGCCAGGGCTGTGTGCCCAGCTGTGGTGTCTGTCTGTCTGTCTGTCCCAGAGCCCTGCCCTCCCTCCACAGCTGGAGCCCGAGTGAGGGGACAGGGAGCGGGGCCAAAGCCATTGACAGAAACGCAGAGTGTGGCAGCATGCGGGTCCCGGGCTGGGGGTCCCGGGCTGGGGGTCCCGGGCTGGGGGTCCCAGGCTGAGGGTCCCGGGCTGAGGGTCCTGGGCTGGGGGTCCCAGGCTGGGGTTCCCAGGTGAGGTTCCCAGGCTGAGGGTCTCAGGCTGGGGTCCCCAGGTTGGGGGTCCCAGGCTGAGGGTCCCAGGTTGGGGGTCCCAGGCTGAGGGTCCCAGGTTGGGGGTCCCAGGCTGAGGGTCCCAGGTTGGGGGTCCCAGGTGAGGTTCCCAGGCTGAGGGTCTCAGGCTGGGGTCCCCAGGTTGGGGGTCCCAGGCTGAGGGTCCCAGGTTGGGGGTCCCAGGTTGGGGGTCCCAGGCTGGGGTTCCCAGACTGGGGTTCCCAGGTCGGGGGTCCCAGGCTGAAGGTCCTGAGCTGAGGGTCCCAGGTCGGGGGTCCCAGGCTGAGGGTCCTGAGCTGAGGGTCCCAGGCTGGGGTTCCCAGGTTGGGGTTCCCAGGTTGGGCGTCCCAGGTTGGGGTTCCCAGGTTGGGGTTCCCAGGTTGGGGGTCCCAGGCTGAGGGCCAGCCCCGGGCCCGGCGGTCCGAGCATCCCCCACTCTCCTGCTCCTCCAGAGCCCCCGAGCAGCCCCAGCACGGAGCAGAGTGGGAGCCCCAGGCTGGGGCAGCAGGCTGGGGGTGCTCCGGCCTGCGGGTCCCAGGGAGGCTGAAAGCATGAGCACGGCTTTGCTGTTGGCTGTTCAAAGCCATGTTTTTATTCATAGCCTTGGAAATGTGTTAGCAGCAGAAAGCCGTCGCTGTGGCTCAGCTGTGACTGTGAGTTGTGCTGGCGGGGCAGCTCCTTCGCCCCTGGCTCCAGCATTTGCATACACTTGGTTTGGTAGGCTCGGGAGGGAACTGCCTGAAATGCACAATGAGTTTGAAGGGAAAGCAGCAGTCAAAGAAGCATTTCATCTCCTTTTCCTCTTTAATTTATGTCCAAAAGATACAGAAGGCAGCTGAGGAAAACATCCGCTGAATGTCCACTGAAAATGGGGGACAATATATTCACTCACAATTCAGTGGGAGCAAAACCCCAAGTTGTTTTGCAAACCCGTGGAAAATATTTCTGTTGCTGTTCTTTCTCCGCCAGCCGAAATGTCTGTTTTCTGTTCACTT